TGGGAAAAACCCATAGGCCAGTTAGTGAAGTGTGAATACTGACTGAATAATTGGTAATATTAAGAAATCATTGTAGATACCATGGTGGTGATTGTATTGTAGTTGTCTTTAGGAATTGGGTTTCTTTTAAAAAATTGTTTATATTTTGGTACTGGATATTAAATCCAGGGCCTTTCCAGTTAGTTACTTCCCTCAAGCCCTTCTTTTGAGACAGGGTCTCACTAAATTGTTAAATTGCTGAGCCTGGGCTTGGACTTGTAATCCTTCTACCTCAGCTTCCCAGAGTCTTGGGGTAACAGGTGTATGCCTCCATGTCCATTTGGGATTTCTTATCTTACAGAGGAACTTAAATATTTATATAAGAAATAATATAGACTAGTACCTGGATTTCATTTTGAAAGTAATCTGTGTGTGATGTAATAGTAAGAAATGAGGTGGATTAGAGATTAATTGGTATTCACATAAATTAATAATTATTGAAGTTATATAACTACATGGGGACTTGTTCTATTGTCTTCTATAAAATAAAGTTTTAGACCTTCATTGACTCAGCTGCATGATGCTATGGAGTTATTTAGCATCTATGTATTTAGTGTCCTTGTCTATAAAGTGAAAATAATAGCTAAGTAATAGGATTGCTGTGAGAACTAACTGATAGTAAGTGTAGTCACAAATGTTACCTATTATACATCAGCTATACTAACTGAAATTATAAAATCACAAGGTTTGAAGTCATCAGCATACTTACGATACAGGACATGTGGCAACTTCTTTTAATGATAATAGAAATTAAAACTGAAGCAACTGTTTCAATCTATAGGCAAAAGCTTTCATTGAGTCCTGAATTCAATCCCTGGTACCGCACCCAAAAAAAAAAAAAAAAAAATCTTACATTGAAAAGGAAGAGAAAATAGAGACTTACACTTGAATAGCTGAAAGGATCTCAGATCTGAGAGCAGTTACACTGACTCTATTAACAGAATCTAGTTTTTAAGGCCTCCCTGGTGCTTGGTGGCTGGCTAACTTCTCATTGGGTCATGTTTTAGATTTTTTTTTTTTAGTACAGGTTACCTACTACCACCATAGTGTACTTGGTTATTGTAGCAAGAGTAGAAGATAAAGAGAAGGGCACATTCTATACATTGTTCACTGAGGAAGATGAAGAAAAAGATGTGTTCAGGGCTGGCCAGATAGCTCAGCAGATTAAAGTGCCTGCTTAGGCAGGTGCAGGGACCAAGTTTGATCCCAGGCAAGCCCTGCCGCTGCCCCCCCCCACCCCAGGGCACGCTGAGACAGTAACTGAGACTGGGCGTGGTGGTGTATACCTGTAATCCCACTGTTAGGGAGACCGAAAACAGGAGGATCACTATGAGCTCAATCTGTGTAGTGAGACCCCCTGTACTAAATACGAGAGAGAGTGAGAGAGAGAGAGAGAGAGAGATTGATTGATTGATTCATGTTAGTGGATAACATGTCATGGATTAGGGCCAGAGAATTCCCCCCAGCTCCTGTCCCATGAGGGAACTCAACCTGTTTCACTTGGAAATAACCTACTTGAGTTCTGTGTTTAGTGTAGGAACAAACAGAAATTTAACAAAATGTCCTGTGGTGAAGCCAGGACTCAATTCTAGGTCTCTTGACTCTCAATTATTACAAGTTCTTTATAATAAATCATTATGGAAGAATGTGTAAGAGTCAAAAGAGAAAATTTCCAAAAAAATTAGTTATCTATTTGGCTTTTATTAGTGACTTATGAATCAAGTAGCATTCTATCTGAACAATGGATAAGTGCTATAATGGACAGTCAATTTTGGTAAGGTACCTTGAGTTGGAACAAGGAAACAGCGTAATATAAAAACAGATTGATTACTAGCCCCTGACAGGACCCAGGACAGTTGCTCCAAAGAGGAAGTGACTTCAGTTCATCTGTACACAATACGGGCTCTTGTCACAGAAAACATTTCAGACTACATCAATGAGGGAGAGGCATAGATAGGTTTATTAAATGAAACTAAAGTTTGTACTCACAAGCTAGTATAGGTTCTTGAGGGATGAGTTAAGTTATGATCCATGGCTAGGTATATTACTGTTTTGGGGGGGGTCGTATTTTTGATTCCACAGAGCACAGTATCAATTTATAGATGAGAGGCAGTGATCTATCCTAAAGGTGAAAGCATGGGAGAAAAGCATGGACTCAATCTGTTGTATTTTTAAGACTTAAGGATCTAGAAATGAGTTGCATGGAATGAGAAAAACAGTTGTAACCTTGGATAACTTTGTGTCCTGAAGCTGCAATTTTCAAAGTATGATTTTAAATTATAATATTCTCTATCTCTTTTCTATTTGGCTTTATTTCTTCTGCCCTACTTCAATTAACATCATTTTACTTCGGGTTACTCTCTTTAAGAGGAGTCAAGCAAAAAGAAATCCCCTTGCTGGGGAGATAGCTTGGCAGCCCACATGCCTGCCTGGAAACTACAAGGACACGGGTTTGATCCTCGGTACCATATGCCATGTCAGCCCTGGATTCCTAGGTGCGCTGTGTCAGCCAGTGAAACTGGGCATGGCCTCACACACACCTTTAATAACAGTGTTAGGGAGTCTGAGACAGGAGGATCACTACAAGTCCAAGCTGCATAGCAAGACCCTGTACCAAATAAATAAACAAAAGATTAAAAAAAATTTTTAAAGGGCCGGGGAAATAGCTCAAGAGTCTAAGCACCTGCCTGGCAAGCACAAGGGCCTGGGTTTGATTCCTGGCACCACATGCCGTGCCAACCCCACCCTGGGCCCAGGCCATCAAAACTGGGCATGGTAGCATGCACTTGCAATCCCAGTGCTGGGGAGGCTGAAACGGGGATCACTATGAGTCCAAGCTGTATAGTAAGACCCTGTACCAAATACATACTTTTTTTTTAAAAAAAAAAGTTCCCTTTACACGCAGACTAAAGTTGATGTATTTGGGGATTTGGCTGCTATCTATGGGTTTCTCAGAATGTGAGATACACTAGTTTCATTTTGATGGGGTGATACTTTAGCACAAGTGATTCCGTTTTGGTTTGATTATTGGAATGTAGTGCAGGACCTTATTCCAAATCAGTGGCCACCTATAAATTTTCTGTAACAAAAATAAACCTTAATTGTTAAGTAGGAGAAGTTGGAATTACAAATTCTTTTTTCCACATGTAAAGTTTTTTCACAATTCAAATAAAAACTCTAAGTTATTCTTATTTGAACAACAGAAGGAAAAGTGAAATTTAACCTGAGTCTGAATTTGTCCTGGGGAAGTGGACCTTAAGTAAACATATTAGAACAATTTTGGGGAAGTAAAGGAATAAAGAAAGAGTGTTTGTTCCACCAAATAAGGGAACATAGTATATAGTTTTAGTTTTTTGGTTTTTTTGTTTTGTTTTTGTGACTGTAGACTAAGAATAGAAAGGTTCATGGGGAAAAAAGTACCAAAAAACAAACCCCACAAACATGCGTAGGATATTAAGCTATGTTGATAGAAAAAAGGACTCCATATTGTTAAGTTGTAAGCTGCTATAAATTTAGCACAATCTCTGTCAAAATTCCAGCAGGTGAGGACCCATTTTAGCTTACTCATAAATACGGCTGATGTTGTTGTCATTATTATTCAGTGGACTTAGCTCATGGGGGAGCTAGCTGTTTTGTGATGTAAGAGGTTCCTTGTCATTTGAAATTTTTAAGCAGGGATCCTTTGACAAGGATATAATAGAGGAAGTTATTGACATTAGATATGAGGTTGGGCTAGATGATTATTTCAGCCCTTCTTAAGGAAAACTATTATGAATCTGTTATTTGTAAATTAGTTATTTATATCTTTGGGGCAAAAGGAAAGAGAGATACTAGAGTGTTCAAAGTTTTTCAAATACGTTTACCTTTTCCCCTGAGATCTGTCATTTTAAAACCATTTCATGTGGTAAATAAAGTTACTAAAAGGAGTTTGTTGTGTATTTAATGCCTGTAATATATTTTCTTGTGTGACTATTCATCAAGCTGACTTCAAAGGAAGATTATATCAGTCCTTTCACCTCTTCAGATTTTAATTATGACTTTGTCTTTTAAAATTTTTTATTTTTATTAGTACATGTTCACAATACCTAATGATTACATCCGTGGTGGGGAATTGGTACATGTACATGTCAATTTTCTTCCCCTTCATCTCCACCCCCTTTTTGAGATTCATTTATTTATCAACATGAGATTCATTTATTTATCTTGTAGGTCCCTTAAAACTAATTAATTATCATGTGTACAGAATAACAGATTAATTATGGCTTTTTCAAAATGGTATGTCTTAAAATATTTTTAATATGCTTTTTTTTTTCTTCACTGTACTGGGAATTGAAGTAGGGACCTTGCACTTGCCGAGCAGGTACTTATGATGCTGAACTATATCCCCAGCCCCCAAATATACATTTTTAGACCACTTGTAATAATTCGTACTTAGGACTGATGAGATAGCTCAGTGGACTAAGTGCTTGCTTAGGCAAGGGCAGGGACTGGGATTCGATCTCCAGTACCACATGCCATGCTGATCCTACCCCCAGGCGCTGTGAGCCAGCCACTGAGTTTGGGCGTGATGATGCATGCCTGTAATCTCAGCACTTGAGAGGCTGAAAACAAAAGGATCACTTTGAGTCCAAGCTACGTAGTGAGGCCCTATACCAAATACACTTTTAAAAAATCATGTTTTTTCAATATAGTCCACCTAGTAAATATTTCTCAATAAGTGGAGAAACTTAGTTATATCAGAAAACTATTTTTGAAAGATATTGTTTCTTAACATGTGTTCTTAACATAATAGGTGTTGTATGCTCTTGTAAAAATAAGCGAGAGCTTAATCAGTAAAAATCATGTAGTAGTTGAAATATGAAGTTACCCTTTTATTTTTGTTAATACATTAATTGGTTAAAATATGAATTGTTACCTATTTTCTTTTTATTCATGTTTTAATTTTCTTTTCATTTTTAAAGCCCAGCCTGAATTCCTGAAACAACCTGCTAATATATATGCTCATGAATCCATGGATATTATATTTGAATGCGAAGTGACTGGAAAGCCAACTCCAACTGTGAAGTGGGTCAAAAATGGGGATATGGTTATCCCAAGTGATTACTTTAAGATTGTAGTAAGTATTTTTCAAAGAAATACTTTATTTCTCTAAATATGTTGTCCTTTGAACTTTTGACAAGTTCAGACCACACTGGACGTGTCTTCCGCCCACTGCATACCACGTTTCCACTTACAGTTTTCACTTTTGCAATGATTGAAAAATAACACACATTCAATAAAAGCTGTACTTTGAATTGAAAAAAAAAGAAATACTGTATTACTGAATCTTTGAATGCTTTTAAATGTGATACCCAAAACATGTTTTCTTATGTAAGCTGCTTTATATTCTACAAATGCATAAAAATAGAAACTTATAGAAAAGGTCACAGAGATTATACTTTTGTCATTGGCAGATCAGAAAGCTGATCCCAAAAATATTTTTGTGGCTTGAATTGAGATCACATAGCAAATATTAGTGATTAAAAATCTGAGTTCATGAACAGTCTGGTACTCTTAAACACAGCTTCTTCATTTCTGGAAAGTAACTGGTATGTATGAGTATACTGTGTGTGTGTGTGTGTGTGTGTGTGTGTGTTCCCACTTGTCTTCCCTGCTCTTTTTTCAAAGATCAGAAATCTGTCCCATGAAATATATCCTTTCAAAGATCCTTTTGAAAAATCTATTAATTAGTTATATACCAAACCTTATAAAACATAATGCAAAAACACATACTGATGTGCAAACTCTTCAAAATAAGGATTACACAGTATGAGACAATTGTTTTGACAATAGGTAAAGATTCTTGGGACTGGGGCAATAGCTTGGTGGCATAAGCACCTGCCTGGTAAGCACAAGGTCCTGAGTTTGATCCCCGGTATCGCATGCCATGTCAGCCCAGGAACAGACATGGTGACACATGCCTGTAATCCCAGCACTGAGGAGGCTGAGACAGGAGGGAGGATCACTATGAGTCCAAACTGCATAGCAAGACCCTGTATCAATTTGAAAAGAAAAAGATGCTTTAAAGAAGTAAATACATTATTACATGGTACTGTATCAATATATAAAATTTTATATATTTATATCAGTTAAGTAATTTCTTTAAAAAGTGTATGAAAAAATGTTATGTATTTAAGAAATCCTGAACTGAGAGTGGTGATGTGTGTTTCCTGAGTGTAATCCCAGCAACAGGAGGCTGATGTAGGAGGATCGCCTTGAGTTAGTTAAAGGCCAGCCTGGAATACATTTAGAGGCCCTGTTTCAAAAAACCGAAGGAAAGAATTCTCAGACATCATTTTTTTCACTTTACATAGATTAAACACTTAGTAGATATTATTTAGTAATGTTATTATCTAACATTCTAATAATAGAACTATGTGTAGTGGCACACACCTGTGATTCCCAGCACGTGGTAGGCTGAGGCAGGAGGATCATGGTGAGTTTGAGGCCAGCCTTGGCTATGTAGGTGAATTTAAGACCAGTCTGAACTATGTGAGACCTTGTCTCAACTGCCTCCAATTCTAATAATGGAATTAGAATATAAGTCTTAGTGATGAGTATTAATAACATACCTTAGGGTCTAAACATAACATACATAAATGAGTAATTATGATTGTTAAAAACATTGCAGATGTGTCATTGAATTACTTCATTTTCAGTAGGAGCATATTTGTTTTTGAAGTATGCTCATGTTACAGAAAGTAAGAATATATATATATATATATATATATATATTCAGTTATAAAACAACCTGTTATGGTTAGCTTTTGTACTTTATCATGTTCCCATATGATTTAAAAAATTTAAACCAGTAACAATATTTAACATTCATACAGTGCTTTATACTTTAGAAATCATATGTTTACAACTTTAATTAAACTTATTCTGGTCAGATCTATTAGAATTATTGATATTACAGATAATTTTAAGAAAATAATGCTGTAAGTTAACTAATTCAGACTTTACCACATACATATGATATTGCGTGCCAAGATTTTCCCAAGCAAGGATGTAAACGATTTTGCAAGCAAGGTGGAGGTAGGACTTTCTGTGCTTCTTACATTCTTTGTATGTGACAGTGTATACTATTCTAGTCTGTTAATAGTTTGCCAGTGCTTTGATATGAAATTGTGTTAGTGGGTTTGTAAGTAGGTAATGAGTAATTGAGTCATAAAATTTTACTTGTTTTTCCTTCCCCAAAATAACAATGCTACACAGTTTCAAAACAGGTTAGTAGGAGAGTTACAGTAATAAATACATTGTGTATTGTTGGCTTCCTAGTATTCAGAATCAAAATTTTGCATGTTTTTCTTCCTTAGAAGGAACACAATCTTCAAGTTTTGGGTCTGGTGAAATCAGATGAAGGGTTCTATCAGTGCATTGCTGAGAATGATGTTGGAAATGCGCAAGCTGGAGCCCAGCTGATAATACTTGAGCATGGTAAGAGGGGCCAAGCAGTTCAATGAAGAAGGCTGTTCAGTGATGCAGGAGCTGTCACTCCAGAGTTCCTCTGATTATTAGCCTGTTTGTAAAGCATTACTGAGAGAAAAAGAATAGAACGATAAATTATTACCGTTCCTTAAAATTACCTGGGAGCACAATTTTTGATAATGATGAAAAGAAATTAGTATTTTAAAAAACTGAATAATTATAGTCTTAACACAAATGAAATTTTCAGAATTCACTTTAATCTCACAATTATATTTCTGCCCTATAAAAATCGTAATTTTTTTATTTTGTATTGAATTTTTCTTTAGTTTTTCAAAGTAAAATTAGCTTTCCTTTTCTGTCACCCAGAATATCCCATGTATAAAAAATTTAGACAACCCTGAAAAAAATTTCCCCATGTATCAATTAGAATCAAATCAAGAAAATTCATTCTTATTTCATCAGGAAGAACTTAAGGAGTTAATTGGGTTGGGGTAGAAGTTGACTAGTAAGAAGTAAAGAAAACCCTAAAGATTGTAAAATTGGCACATACATGGAGCCCATAGTTCTGAGACAGAGTGCTTAGGGAAGGCCCTTTCTAGGGCTGAGATCTAGACATTGTTGGAGCAACTGTGGCTGTTCTGTACCAGATAGCAGAGACACTGATGTGGAGCTTTGCTGCTGAAACTTGTTCAGAATTCACTCTCTAGAATCTGAGAAAAACTTCCATAGGGAGGTGTCTCAGCAGAGGCTGCAAAACCACCTGAGGTTTGGGTACTGGGGAAAACTACTGGCATAGGAACTCAACAAGACAGGGCACTGGAACCAGGAAGGAAACCCCCTCTTCATGTATCTGCAGTGCCCTGAATTGCTAATGTTAGCACATGTGCCAGCTGACAAAGGAAAGGGCCCAGCTCTATGGAGAGCAGGCTGTGAAATCTGAATTAGAAGCTGAGAGACGGTAAATTGGTAACTGGAGCATATACCAAATACCCCTAGGGTACTGCATAAGAACACAGATAGATGTAAATATATGATTTTATAACCTTTCACTCTCTTGCAACAATAAGCTGTGGATATTTTTTCGTGTTAATGTGTATTACATTTGCAGTTTATGACAATGTTTGTATCAACACACACACACATACATTTTGTTCTATATAACTGATTCTCTATTGAGTAACATTCTAAATTGTTTCTTGTTTTTTACTGTTAAGAACAATATTAGGAGACTGAGTTAGAAACATTACAATTTCAAGCTGAGCCTAGGCAATTTAGTAACTTATAAGACCCTGTATCAGAATCTTTAAAAAGGGCTGGGGATATGGCAAGGGGAAAGGGCCTTGGGTTTCATCCTCAGTGCTCCCCCACCAAGTATGTCTTTGCTCAGGATTATCATTATAAATCTAACTCTAAAGGGGGGAAGTATTCTGAAAGTATAAAAATAGTCCCTAAGTTAATACTAATTGGGCTTTCCTCTGAAAAAACTGACAATGCTATGTTGAACATTTTTACATGATTACTAAAAATTGAATTGTTGTGTAGCAGTTAATTGTTCTCTTAAATCAATGTAACCACTAGCTATATTATTTTTTACCTCTTTTTTTTTAAACAAGTAAACCATTTTTCAAGAATGCATGAAAAAATGACACTTTAGATATCTGATCTTTTATATGAATCAGTTATGGTCAGGTACTACCAGTGTGGCTTCCAGAATTTCTGAACTATCCCAACAACTGTCACTTGGCCAAGTGTGCTTACTGTCAATATGGCTTCTACTCTGGCTTTTCCCTAGAATAGCATATAGGATTTTTAGATGCTATTTTTGAAAATATAGTTAAATACTGTTATAAGATCTATTGGAACTGTTTTGGTCTGCCTTTGCTTCTCTGTGATTATACTCTTGTTCACTGGAAATTATTTTAGAGTTAGTAGAAGTATGTCACTTTCCCATCTTGGCAAAATGGCTGAATATGATTACCAAGTAAGGAGCTAGTGTAGTACAGGCTCTGGGTGGTAGGGTTGGTGGTTTTGTGGTAGTTTTGTTCACACTAATAACAGTGACTTTTCCCTAGTGAACTTAGTGGCTATTTTGATGTATATTGCATGGGACTAGCAAAATATGTTTGTGTTCAGGATTATAAGTCTAATTCTAAAGAAATAAAAGCTCACTCTGAAAGTATAAAAACGATTCCTAAATTAATACTAATTGGGTTTTTTTCTGAAAATTCTTGGATGGATAGTATAAAAATTAGTCATAGTGTGTGTGTGCTTCTCTCTTTTTTAGAACAGGTTGTTTTTTTAGTGACCTTTATTGAGTATGCTTAAAATATACACAAGTTATAAGATGGGAAGTATCATGTTAATGATTTTATTTTCTATTTTGCTTGTTTGTGACACAGGGCCTCACTGTGTTGTGTAGACATCTTGAATCTCCAGGTTCTTGTGGTTCCCCCAAGTCAGCCTTCCCAGTACTGGAACTGTAGGCATGTACCACCATGCCTCTATTTTGCTATCTTATTTTAATATGCAAGATAAACATTTATATGAGAAAGCTAAAAGATGGAACATAATATTTATAAGATCTTATTTCTGCTTTTCTAGGGTTCATATCTTTATATCTTGAAGAATATAGATGAGATGTTTGGGGTGTTTTTTTTTTTTTTATTTGTTTTTTGTTTTTTGCAGTACTGGGAATTAAACTCAGGACCCTCTTTCAAAGCTACCTTCCCAGTCCTTCATATTTTTTGTTTTGATACAAGGCCTTGCTAAGCCACTGAGTTGCCTACATTGGTCTTGAACTTGGAAACCTCTTACCTCAGTCTCCCAGAATGCTGGCATTACAGGTCTGTGCCATTGTACCTAGACTAGAGTAAGGTTATTGTTACGCTGTAGATGAAGCCAGTGTGCTGCAGAAGAGGAAGATTGAATCTGTATGACCAAGGAAGTTTTTAATATAAGATGCCCCCTTTGTAATAAACCTTGAGTAGTAAGATACCCAGATATTGATCAAAAACAGGATCATTATGGAGAAAAAATAGAGTACCTATTCCTGGAGGAAGGTAGCAGGACAGGATCACATTGATAGTAGGCATGTATGACTCTCAATGGTCAAAGCAGTGCTGTAATAAGACAGTTTGATGGCAAATTCACATTGAACTAGAGGAAGGCAGAGGCCAGGCTGTTTTGACTGTTAAGGGACTACTGTGATATAATGAGTACATTTGTCAGAGAAGTGGGCAAGAATCCTAATAAAGAGATTAGTAATGATTTATTTGATTCAGGCTTTATTATCTGGTTATGTATTAAACATTATTATAGAGAAGTAAGATATATCTCCCAGGTTTTGTTTCGGTCACTGAAAGAAGGGTGATGCGTTTACATAGAAAAGGAAGGTAAATGTAGTAGAAAGGGATTTTTAATTTCTACTCAGAATGTAGAGTGTGCAGAGAATATCCCCCTCTCAATGTAAGAGAAAACTTGGTATTCTAGAAAATTTTAACTTCTGAGTCCCTTAGAGAATTGAGTTTGCTTAGTATCTGAAAAGGGAAGCCCCACCCTTCAAACTCCAAGGAATGAGTCATATGAATTGTTTTACCTTTGACACAATACAAGAGAAAGAGATGGCTAACATATAAGTGGGCAGAAGGCTGGTGAGATAGGTCAGCAGACTAAATGCCTGCTTAGGCAAGCACAGAGGCCAGGTTCCATCCCCACTGTGCCAGCCCCGCCCCTGGGCACACTGAGCTGGCTATGGAGTTCAGGTGTGGTGGCACACGCCTATGATCCCAGTGCTGGGGAGGCTGAAAACAGGAGGATCACTGGGAGTCTGATCTGTGCAGTGAGACCCGGTACCAAATATATAAGAAATAAAATAAAAGTGGGTAGGAAGAAAATGCCTAAATTTGTAAATAATTGTTAAAGGCCAGGTATGGCCTAGTTTGTAACATCTGCTATCTCAAATTTGAAGGAAGTTTGTACTTGCTTGTAAAGCCTTTTCTTTTGGCTCTTCAGGGTACTCCAAGTTGAAAGTCAGAGCAGGTTACTCTCTGTGGTTTAGAGATGAAGGTGACATTCTGTCCTGCTAGGAGATAGGAACAAAGCTACTTACATCTACTCACATCCTTCTTGACGTCTCACACCAGTGAAGAGAATGAAGAAAACCTTGTTTCATAAGGTTCTGTAGGAAGATTAGAAGCCAAACTCTTCTGCTCCTGTGAATCAGAGAGCTCTTCTGTGTACAGGATGCATGCAAAAGCTCATTGTCACTGGGGCAATTATGTAAGAGAAAGGGATACAGAAAATCATTTTAGGCTGTAGAATCCTGTACCAATATCAAAAAGTGCTCATTTACTACTTGGGGAGGACCTAGAAACTGCCACCCAAGAGCAGTAGAAATACAAAGCAGATTTTAGCTGCCATGGAAGAACAACTACAGGTCTACCCAAAACTGAGGTTGGACTAGGACAGTTGAGTGGTATCTGCCCCTGCCGTAATCCTAGCAACAGTTCACAAATATGTTCTGCTTTGGGAAGGTAAGAGCATGGTGTGAAATCCATGTGGTAATGGTTGAGCCCTGACAGGAAAGCAGAAGCAAAACAAGAGGCTTCTTGTGTCTCTGGCTTCTATGCACAGAACAAGAGGAGTCCGCCCATAGAGGAATTTGAAACCTATGGTATTCTTAAAGTAATTGTATCAGTTTCTGATTAGATTGGCTAAACTGTTCCTGCACCCCAATAGTTTGACAGAAAAATAGGCCTTACATGTTAATAAACTCTTATTCACTTAAAATTCATAGACTCAAAAAAGCTCACTTGTGGCTGAGAAAAAAAATCGATAGAATAAAATTTAGCTTTTGTGACTTCTATATAAAAAGGTATAAAATACATATTCTTAGAAAATAGACTATCCACATGCCTTCTTTATATACCTTTCTTTTAAAAATTACTTGTTAATGTATTCATAAAGACTTAAGATGTATCCAAAGCAAGAGCTCAAAAATAATACCTTAA